TATACCTTTATTCGGCTATATATATATATACAAAAACAGCAGAGTGTTCAATGGTACATAATTATTTATGAACTATCTCTCATCTTAGTTTTCAACATTTATTGGAACAGTGCACGGCCTAGAATAAGAGTTCATCTGTACAGTACAACAACAATTAATTAATTTAGTCTAGTTTTTCCCAACTCACATACACTACCAACATCACTTTTAATTATCTACAACTGCAGATGACTTGTTATTATGCAAGATTTGTTATACACTATGCAAATGGAGATTGAATCAGGATATTATTATGATCATTTGATTAAGCGTTTGAACGAAGCAACAAGCCTGGCCCTAGGCTCCCAAGGCTGTATGTTAAATATTGTAGCATTGCTTACGAATAAATATCATAGCTTGCGCACAAGCAGGCCTATGCAAATTTGATGGAAATAATGATATAATGAAAATACTAATATTAGAGTAATAACTGTGGCAGTGCCAGAGATTCCAAAATGCATGACAGAGGGTCCAAAGTCCTCAACAAGGGTCCAAGATTACCGACAGGGGGTCATGCCCACCTCCAGCACGGTCGGAGCACATTTTATGAACAAGTAACTTTAGATTCCAAAAACAGAATAAAAATGCTTATTCCATGCAGTGTTCCCTGACAAAATCATTGGCTTCCTCATTGACAGGAGTCTATGGTTCTGATTTCTTTTCTACAATGCATGATAAAATATAAACATCCTGAGCTCTCAACAGTCTGATTGGCCAGAAGCACTCAAAAAACCATTGGAATGTACTATTATACATTTGACTGATGATCAGTTCTGATGCATCAGTTTTTGAGGCAGTCGCATTCTGACATCAATGCCGACACATACTTGCTATCAGTGTCCGTTGAATAAGGGTGTAGCTTGTAGGTTCTAATGCTTTCTGACAAATATATTACTGTTTGTGGTACACACATCCTATCATGGGCCATGCTTTCTTCTTAGTGGTCTAGGGTATGCATATATATCATGTGTTTAGCCCACACAAGATGTTTTCTGTGCCAACTGATCGCATTCCAGTCTTCTATAGTTGAAAGATATACTGTCTGAAATATCCCTAAAAAATTCTATAGATGAACATAATAATTTTGAGCAGGACACAGAACGAAACAAAATCAGATTTTATTAATTTCCACACTTTTACTCTTTACTTTTCATGTACATGTGTTGCTGTCATTTTTGTTGTTTGATTATTATGCACCATCTTTTGAAAGAACAATATGACCCATGTGGATGCACCATTTTTTTTGAAAGAGCAATATGGCCCATGTGGATGCACCATCTTTTGAAAGAGCAATATGGCCCATGAGAATGCACCATTTTTTGAAAGAGCAATATGGCCTATATGGATGCACCATCTTTGGAAAGAGCAATACGGACCATGTGCACCCACCATTTTTAGAAAGAGCAATATGATACGGCCATGTGCATGCACATGCACATGCATGTGCTTCCTTTGTTTTTGTAGGTAGCTTTGATCAATTGGGTAAGAATGATTTGATCTTTAGTTTATTCACATCTATGTCACCTACTAAGGCTAATGTCTTTGATTGGTCAAACACTTTTGGTACTTGTGCATATAACCTTGCAAATATGAATAATTTTTCATTCCTAATGATGACAACTAATGTCAAAATATTGAATCCCAACACGATGGCGTGCATTTTGATACTTGGAGTATGACAATAGTTAATGTTGAAATATTGAATCACAACATGCACGGCCCAATTGACAACAAGGACAGTCAACCAAGTATTATGGACTTTGCATGGTTCACATGCATGGGTAGAAATAAATATAAATAATATTTAGTCTGTTTATGACTGTAGGAGTGGAACTTCTAATAGTGACAAAAACCCTGGTATCACAGGATTTAAACCAAAAGACTTTGGAATGAAGGCAAACATCAGGCTACATTTTTACTTCATTTAAGTAATTCGCACAAAGTTTAGTATCACAAGAAAAATTGCCCTTACCAAAAAACAGCTGCATAAAATAATACAGTTATAATATAATAGTTAAAAATAATAGTTAATAAGTAATACAGTTTCTATGTTCTTTGCACAGAACCTTATTGGCTGGTAATCAATTTCAACGAAAAACAGGATTGTTTTTATGTGTCTTATTAACAGTTTGATAACTTATTTTATCAATTTAAAGGGCAATTAAATGTTTCAGTTGAACTTTCAAGGTTTTTTCGTAATTCTAATACAGATAAAGCTTAAGCATTATTTGTCATTCGGAATTATATTAAACAGGTAGCACCAAATCTGACAAGGGTTGGAAGCTTAAAGTGTAGGGGAAGTCAACTTGGATTTTGTAAATCAAAATGAAGTTCATGGCCACTAACTAAGAAGCCTTAATGCAGTAGGCCTACATCGTACATAACGTGGCGGAAATTCCTATCACATGAACAGACTCAAAATGCTTGATAAAACGGATATGTAATGAAGACTGCCCTCGACATAGGAACTGGATGTATTGCGAATGAGTGATTGCCGTAGACCGAATCAAACTAGATTTTTCCAAGGGACTAGAAGCAAGTTCAACTGAGCAAACAATGGATTTAGATGCAAATTATATCCAGCTGATTAAAACGTTTGAATATATAAATAAAGATTTTTTTGGGAATTAAAAATACCACTTTTAAAAAAATTCTGCTCCAAAATCTT